GTTGGTAGTCCCAAGGGAACCGGGTTTACTGCGTTGTTCGACGTGATGATGGATGAGTTGTTCGACTAGGTGAAACTAGGAATGTAGCTTAGAAAGTTCGACCTTTTGATACAACGGTCTACACTCCTATATTGATGCCTGACTCGTAGACGACGAGCGAGGACTTATGGACAGTGCGTCGTCCTGAAGATCGAGCGAGGAAGTCGAGAATGACCACTACCCCAAGCGAAGAGGAGCAGAGACTTGAATGAATAACCAGGTCGAACTTAGGGTTCGACCGACTAATGGTACAACTACTTATACAAGTACCGACTGCGCACGGACCATCGTGTCTATGTGGTCGTGTTAGTGAAGAAAGAAACGTAGTGGTACGATACCAGGCACGAAGTGCGCACGGACCCCATTATGTAAGCTACATAATGTTCAACCTGCGGGTGAGCGCTAAGACAGGCGCCAGTATGGGCGCTAGTAGTACAAGGAATAGAACGGAAAGACAAATGTTTCAGCCACAGCGCATCTATCGACATGGATGCCGAGCTGAACGTAGGCCTCTCCATGGAGGAGGGCACTGCCGGGGCATTTGGCAGGGACATGGTACGTTGAAAATCTTGTCCCTCGAGATGTTGAAATTCTAACGTCTGATTAGTACGTCCCGCCGGACGTCAACATGGCGCGGTCGTCCAGTATGTCGATGCCCCAAGAAGATGGCGCGCCCGTTGCAGGGCCGTCGCGATTCCCGGGTGCACTCGGCGACTCGACCGACAGGAATGGGGAGAGAGCTGATCTCTCACCCATTCAAACATCGCGTGGGGATCCTGTATCCCTCGCGATCGCCCCTGGTCTGCTATACGCAGAGCAGGGTGCAACAACAAGAAGATACAAAGTTTCCATCGACGAAGATGACAGTGAAGAAGAAGAGCTCGATGCATATGACGATGGAGCAAATGACAACAAGGACGATGCTTACAACGAGGACGATGCTTTCATTCTCGACACCGATGACGAGGACAACGAGGTTGAGTCTGCAGATCTCGATGACGACGTCAACTTTGAAGCAACTGGCGACTTACCACTAGTCGCCCCTCCCCTCGACAGACCCATAACGCACTCCCACACTCGCGCGTCCTATGGAAACAGCGGGTTGACAATGCCCGATGTCTCGCGTGGGCAAAAGCGCAGGGCTGACGAAGATGGCGAGGAGGATGATGCTGACGAGAGGGCGGTGAAGAAGGCACGGAAGGGCAAGGCGAAGGACATTTCCCAGACGAAGCAGAAGACCAAGGTGAACGCGAAGGATACGGCGAAGACAAAGGGCAATGCGAAGGCAAAAGGTAAGGCGAAGCGTAAGGCAAAAGCAAAAGCGGGCAACGCGAAGATCAAGGTCAGAGGTATTGGAGGGCAGTTCCCGTGCCTGAAGCCTGGCTGCACAAAGTCGTTTCGACGCATCACCGACAGAAATCGCCATCTCAGATCCAGCTGTTCAAAGGAAAAGACAGGCGACCTCGAGAAACCCCGCTGCTCCCACTGCAATAAGCAGTTCTCCAGGGACGATGCAGTCAAGCGGCACATCGATGACGGTGCGTGTCCTGCCTATAAACAGCCACCTGGAGAGTCGAAGGAGTCCGGAGCGTCGAGTGACGGGAACGACGGAAAGCGTAAGGGTGGAGATAAGGGCGGTCGTGGTGGAGGAAATGGAAAGGGCGGTCGCGGCGGAGGAAGGAGCGGCCGTGGTAGAGGAAGAGGCGGTCGTGGTAGAGGAAGGGGCGGTCATGCCTAACATCCGGGAGTCGTCGCAGCATCCTCCCTCTCCATCTCGTACTCGACTGTTTCTGCCGTCGTAAAGTGCCTGGGACTCTAGTCCTCTCGACATTGCCGCGACGATCTGACCGTACATGCCTTGCCATCGTCTTCGACGTATATCCTTTCTCGCTCAATATATGAGTCGCCATGCAGAATGAGCAGCGACTTCAAGAGACATGATTAAGCAGCGTGATGGAACGGACCATGACGGCGGAGAGGAAGCGAGGGAAACATCGATCGATCGAATCTGCCGCCACGCGCCTATCCACCATTCCAAGTTTGGACCCGTTCAGATGCTGTTTGACTGCTCACGGCCACTCGACCTGAATGTTTGATGCAATAATTGTTGTACTACGTCAGTGCGTCTCATTCAAACACTATCCTTTGCTGATCTGACGGGTGGGTTTCCCGTAGGACGCATGACCATGAAGCGAGATCACTCTCTGCATTTGAATGTGTGCACGACACCTTGCTTGCAATCGGGCAATGGAGGAGGAGGGTCGTGAATGAGATGATACTCTACGTACACTGCGCTCTCTTTGTTATGCGGTTTGTGTTTCTCCACTGTATTGAGGATTCTACGTGGCTTCATACTCGCATAAAAGCCGTCGTTCTCATCAGCGCGGATGGCCATACACGTCACCCAGCGGTTGTGACTTTTTGGCTTTAGCTCAGGCTCGAATGAGATGGAACATACACTGCGACAGCACCCTGAGTACTCCTGGCCGTTATTACCATCGAGGAGTCCGTAGACTACAGCCGCAAACGGGACGTGCTGCTCAGTCTGTCTATGCCCTACGTTCAAGAGGTATCGTGGTTCATTCTTCAATTCGGAACCGCACTTTGATAAACATCTCATCAGGACAAATGCAACGTGATATACGCTCACTCACGAAGTGGGCAGGTCATTAAAAACTATATAGAGGCTATTGGTCAACGACAATGCCCTGGTGTCGTCTTGGTCGTGAAGGCTTGGCCCCATGGCCATCAGGTGTCCTGCATATGAACGGGGTATTCTTTGATTGTCGTGGTCGATGCCGTATCGCTGATGTACGATGGCTCCTGGTTCTTGACCCGCTCCGAGTGCGTTAGTATGCTTGAACGAGTGATGGAGACCTCGCACAGACACGGATATCCAATAGGTCTAGGGGTGTTGTGCATGCTTTCAGTCGTCTGTTTCATGTGATGAAGGCACGTCACATCAGTGGCTCGCATTGTCTTCTCAACACGTCGCCAACAGCTAATCGTAGAGATGTCTCGTCAAAAGCTTGTGCGCTGCTGTATGGTCCTTGTCCGGCTGCCCTGTCTGCTCCTAATGTCCATGTCAACGCCCAGCACGTACATCACCAAGATATGGAATGGGCGGAGGCGTGATTCCGTTGTAGGTGGTACCTGTGAATCCTGTATACAGGCATCTGACAGATTGATACCGCCGAGTGAGGATAACAATGCCCCGTACCGAGTTGCATTTCACGATCTAGAGTCGAACGCCGAGTTATGAGGCTGTCAAGTCTGTTGACCGTTTGCTGAAGGACACGAGGAATGATATGCATGAAGCAAACATTGCGAATGCTTTACACGTAAAGGGGTTAGGAATGGTGTTGTGATTGACATGCTTCCGTATGAACAATGCGGGAATGGCAATGACCCGCCTTATGCCTGTTTCGAACCTTCACTATATCTAGCCATCGAGTTGTTGTCCAGATGAACACGTCGAGATGCGCGTATGACCCAAGTGAGCAACGTACTGAGAATACTCACGCCAGTGCCACACCAGAAGGTGTCCGTACCAGCCGGTGCCGTCGTCAGCCTTCGATCCATCAATAGCGTACAGAATGGTCATATTTAGAAGCTAAGTGATGCACTATGGATTCCACAATTGCCCTGTCATATTGCAGGTAGATTTACTACGACGCGGGTGGACACACGAGTCGTCGAAAACACAAAGGTAGAACATACGCGTAGTGGAAGGCTTCGAGGTCGTTGCAACAATGCACGAGAAAAACGGTACAATGAACGGTAAGACCATATTCCCGAAAGCGGAGAACATTCGCGTGTTGCATTGAACTAAAAAATGGAGGATAGGATAATGGTAGGAGGGAAATCAGTATAGTCGCGGCACGATTCACTCCCAAGTATCTCCCCAACAACGATACGACTACGTCCTCCGATGAACGGAGAGGTCGCGGAGACCACGTGTTCGCGGAAAGAAGCGGAAAGAAAGGCGCAGGCCCTGGGATTATAAAGCGTGAATGAACTTGGAAATATTTTTGTCTACCCGAGCGGACGGATGGTGCATAGCGATACGACGTACCGTATGTAGGCCCTGTCGTGTTTCAATATCAACGTCGCCCTGACAGTATGGTGCTCAGAAGGACAGCTCACCGAATGTGAGGGGCAACAGTGACTAGCGCGTATAGGCGTGACCGTCTATCCCTGAGATATTGAACAAGCATCCCATGATTGCTGACGTACCGCAGCATGTCCTAGCACCCTAAGGACTTCCACCGTCCCGCCATCTTCAGCGCAGACGTCCATCGGTGATAAAGAGCAGATGTTTACTTGAGGCGGCCCCGTGCGCCTGTCCACGTAGCGTAGAAGTACCGAGACTTGTCGAAATGCTGTTCCCGGCCCAGACGTGCGAGTTTTAAGTGTGCAGCACGTCGACTACCTATACACGATGAAACCTCAGCAACAATCTGTAGATGTGGTACTAACCTCAGGCGGGGCCTCAGCCCACAGGTTCCAAAACATCGACCATCTAGGTAGAAGATGGAAACCGCTGCATGACAATGTACTGCTTATACTCAGCGGCGACTCGGACAAAACCCAGAGCAGACGAGAGCAGGTCTACGACTCCATTCCTCTTGACGGTCTGCGAAGCCCCTTGCATAGCGCGCCGCGCGCCCTGTACACATAGTGAACCACTGGTCTGACGAGGTAGGAATCAAGAAGAGACTCGCATACGAAGAGACGGGAAGGCAGCACTCGCACGACAACGGCGAAAATGTCGCTGGGATGTCTCAACCATGCCAGATTAACGTTCAATCCACCAAGAAGATGCGCCGCGCGTTCGTTCCATGACCGAGGCGTTCTGTGACTCCCCAATGGCATGCAGATCGACCTGCACAGTCTGACCACGATGCGCTGGTAAAGTCGCGCTTGTACGCTAACGGAACGTGGTGGAGCCCCGAAGACGATGCTAAGAGCGTCGCACTTCGGGCGAAGTCAATGGGGACGGACAGATGAGCGGCAGGAAAGCAGTAGGGGGTTCGATAAATTGCAAAATTGTGCAGGTGCATTTCGCCCATCGAGCGCAACGAATGAACGTGAGGAACGGGTATGCGCGTGGCTGGTTCGGCGGATTCCTGGATCTATTCCGAGGGCATGAGCAAGCGAGCAAGCGGCAGACGCGTGTGCGGTGCTTCCATCCTGATGGACCCACTGGGTCGGCGGACTGCCAATGCACCGCGGGATCTACACCGGATACAACGCCTGAGAACCACCGCTACTTCGTTGCCTGAGACACATGCGTGCTGGGGGAACGGCGAGCTAAGGACTGACTTGACACGGGGAGAGCTCATGTAGCTATCCACGCCACGTACAGCCATCCATTCCTGCTCGGTAGATCCAGCAATATACAAGCAAAAACGTGCGGTGAACGAGGCGCCGTTTGGCGCGCACTATCAGCCAGTCAACCATGCACGACCCTGGACGGAGAGGTGCCCAGGTGGTATGCGTATCCGTCAGTGGAAGGCCACGCATAGAAGCTTCGGGAAAACTGGACAACGACGGTATGACTCCGCGGGAGCGCACCGTAAGACCAAGTCTGGGTTGAAAGGGATGTCCATTTCTGGACGTCGCTGTTTGAAAATGCGATGCTTATGTCTTGAGTATGATCAGTGGGGGAGAGCCGATACAAACCCCGAGCGAGCGAAGCAGACGGCCATTCCAGTTGTCCGTATGCTGCTTGCAATGTCTTGCAGCGCGCGCTGTAAATACGAGGTGAACGAGCAGGTTAAGCCGGTCAAACTGACTGACGACCACAAGTGCAAAAAGAGACAAGTGCACCTGCTGAGCGCTTCCGTGTGGGGGCCGCTCCGGCGTATTCTTGCATTGTCTCATGAAAAAGCAACGTGAGTGAAGGCACGAAAATGCAGCGTGATCCGTCCGACAGCGCTGCATTATTCTCGACATCTTTATCAACAAGGACGCGCAGTCATGATGTCCAGATAGCGAGGCCTTTTAATTTCGGACTGTCTGCAGCCCCCGCTGCAACTTCGCTTGCGGCGGGATCTTTACGAAGTTTGATGCATCCAGCACGCCCAGCCCGCAGTCGGCGAAGGGCGGCGGGCACCGAGAACCTGCGATATACAATACCCTCGCCCTCTTCTCCTTTGATCTTTGTCGCCTCCGCTTGTTGGTCTATTGGTATATGCCCTACTTCACCCACCTGCTATTACAACACTGACTAACTGACCATAGTCATCCTCTCCATCCAGCAACATGGAAAAGGAGTATTCCCCAGAGCCAGGATGGGATACAAAGATGGCTGCGGACATCGACGCGCTCGCAGAGGGGATGGAGCGATTCAAGGATGCCCAGGCCAATCAATACTGGGAGACCCAGGGCGAGGGTGTCGCGGTGTCCACCGCGTACCAGGAGATCCCGGCTGGCGCCGTTAGTCTATCCGAGCCAACGTTTATTGGGACAGCGAGCTGATTTTGCATTCTACAGGACCTCCTGTTGGACGTGGAGACATCAACGTCGTCTCCAGCCACTTCCGCGGGGGCCACCAGTTGTCCAAGCGACACGTCTGAGGACAGCTACAGTACCTCAGACGTCCACTCGCGCGGATATGGCTCATCCGTATCCAGCGCAAATGCTCCTGGTCTGCGCTGCGCAGAGCAGGGAGCAATGACACTAGAACACGAGAATCACCACGTCGGCAGTACGAGCGGCCACGCGAGCGAGGCAAATAGCGAATTCGACGTCATCGACGACGCCGACGTCACTAATAGCGAGCCGGGATGCGCAGACGATGCCAGCAGGAGCGACTCGCGCGACAACTCACCACCTATCGCCCCGCCGATGGTCGATGAGGTCATTTTCAGCGGGAGGATCAACCAGTCGGAGTGGGCCACCCTGCCTCGGCGGGTCACTCGGTCAATGACCAACGCCACCACCTCGACGCCCACGCAAGCATCCGCATCCATCGCGGGTCCATCGACTGTCCGGCGTGGCCAGAAGCGGAAGTCTCCTGACGAGGATGAGGACGACGAGGACAGCGCAATTGAAAACCGCGGGGCCGACGAAGACCAGGAGCTTGAAGACGATGGGGACGAGAATACGAGGCCAGTGGCGCGTGGGCCGGACGGACGCTGGCCGTGCAAAGAGTGGCAGTGCAGCAACACCTACACTCGGGAGCACGACATGCTCCGTCATTGGAGATCTTGCAAGATGAGGCCTGCGCATTTGCGAGCATCCTGGATCTGCCCGGATTGCGGCAAGTCATATTCAAGGCGCGATGCAAAGGGGCGACACAAGCAGACAGCGTGCAAGGGCAAGGACCCTGCAGAAGGAACTGGCGGCGGTCGCGGATCGGAAGGAGGGAAGAAACGTGGCGGCGGAAGCGGTGGACGCAAACGAGCTCGGAGTGGCTAGTGATGGTGAATATCCGTCTTTCTCCTCCTGCAGAGATGTCTCTGGAGCTTACGTCGGGTTGTCTCGAATACAGAACTCACCGGTTCATCCCATCTACGCCTTGCTCGTCATCCTGATCCAACCTCCCATCCCAACCTGACGCTGTCTGCATCGTCGTGAGACTGGAGCATTGACAACACGCTAATCATACTCACTGGTTCTGCATCGAGCCGTATCTCGTCCGCTCTTTACTCTTTTCCACAATCCATCTGCTCCGTCGCTTATCCCTCGAGCCTCCAGAAGAAACGAGCATGGACTTGGCCAACTGTCGTATGACGGAGTGGAACAGAGCACAGAGGGCTGGGCGATAGATCGACGAGAGGGACGTATGTATGGCTGTTTGACTTCGCTTGCACCGGTGGCTGGTGCACTCTTTCGCTTTCGCAATCATGCTTACGTTCTACTCGACATGGCGAACTTCGGAACATACTGACTGACTCGAGTAGAACGCAAGATTCTCTCTATCTTTCATTGACGCGTACGAAGCGATAAGCCGCTCGTTCACAAGCAGCAATTAGACACCGTCAAGCTGACATCTCTACGATGTGTGGATAGTATTCAGGAATTTGAGGCCTGGTTTCTTCGAATGCTACGAGTATGGCTTTGCCGCCCAGAGTTTACTCGTCCGAAAACGAACCCAATGAAGACCTCACTTCCTTGCATAGACGATGTCTAATTGTCGTGGTCCACACTTCAATTAACACAGTCGTTAGCATCCGAAGCTCCCGAAGTCATACGTCTTCGACTCATGTGCTCCACATCCAGAGCTCTCTCTTGTCACCTGATTTCTCTGTACAGTCCTCCATGGTGCACTCCAACCTGTATGCTCGCACTCGAAGCGACCAAGCTCAAGCCGACGACTATCGCATTCCATCTCTGCAGACCAAAAGTCTAAGTCGACGTTGCCATGAGATCCGTCGACGCCATATCACCGTCTTCTCAGAAAATCTCAAAGGGGTGTTCTTTGCTATCATCATTTCAAACGCTTGATCAAATTTTATGATATGCTAGAGGCCGTGTTCGATGGACGACTCGACAGCCCTCACTCTACGATATGCCAACTTGGCTGCTCGAGCTAATAAGCTCTGTCCATGGATCTTTTTCGCTTGTTCTTGTGGCGTAGAAATATGTGGCACTCATTTCCACATGGTCGTATCCAATAGTTGTAGACCTTGTTGGGGATCGTTCTGAGAGATATGATACAGTAGTTAGGTAGTCTTGATCGATGTGCCATTCTGCTCTTTTCTGATGCGTCGAAGACTCGAATGTAATCATTACCAGCCAATTCAACCTGGACGATAGATGCCAAACTCCAGATTCTAGGCGGTATGCCATCTAACATCAGCCCCATGCTTGCAGAAATCACATGCATTGTCACAGTCGAGAAGCAGGTGTGCATACTCAATTCAACGCGCGCACAGAAATGTACCGGCATGATATGCAGCCTTTCGAAATCCATCATAAAACCTTCAAGTCACGCCGCTTCACGCCTATTATGCATTTCTTCGGTTTACGTCCAAAACTGTCTTGTATCTCGAGCTGTATCGAGCGTAACGTAAGTACTCATCTTGTGTATCGTATGATTCAATGAGACCAAATGTACAGGAGCGTCATCTTGCAGGACGATGCTATACCTGCGAAATATTGTCGCCGTCACGATCTGCAGTTGCTGCATGGCAAGGTTGCGCCCAATACATGCCCTGTTCAGACGCACGCTTCAGACCAGTTAAACATAGTTCAAGCACTCCGCACTTACCTCAGGCCAATTGAGAAAGGTGCGAAAGAGCTCATCATCTCTTTCTTCGTGTCCGCCGAGGCGTCGATCCATCTCTCGGGGTAGAACTCGTCTGCGTTCGCACCCCAAACCGCTTTGCTCCTGTGCAGAGTGTATATCGGCGAGCTCACCACCGTCCCTTCCATCAGGTGGTGTCCGAGGATCGTCATACCACCAGCAGGCACGACGCGTGGCAGACCAGCGCCGACACCCGAGTGCAGGCGGAGACCTTCGTTGACTACAGCTTCGAGATACGGCAAGACCTTCACTGCGCCGTAAGGTGCTATCTCGGAGCCTGTCCCGTCGAGCGCCGCGTCTAACTC